AACGAAGACCAACTTACTATTTTCAATAAAGTCATCAATGCTGTAGAAAGTGAAAATCCTTCTGTATTCTTTGTTGACGGTCCCGGTGGAACAAGAAAAACATTTCTTTATAAGTAAGAAATTAAAAAATTTTTTTTCCTATTTTTTTTTTTCTTTATTTTAATATATATATTATATATATAGTATTTTACTTGCCAAAGTTTGCCTAAGTCATCATATTGCTCTCGCAGTAGCATCTTCTGAAATTGCTTTACTCCTTTTGCCAGGTGGCCATACTGCATACTCTAGATTCAAGATCCCATTAATTTAACAGAAACTTCTACCTGCTCTATCTCTCATGGTACTGAATTAGCTTTGCTTTTACAGAAAACTCATTTAATCATATGGGATGAAGCATCTATGGCCAATAGATATGCACCTGAAGCACTTGATAGAACTTTGAAAGATCTTATGAAAGCTACCAATCCATCTTTAAACAAAATTCTATTTAGAGGTAAGGTTGTAGTATTTGGCAGTGATTTTTGCCAAATTCTTCCTGTCATCCCAAAAGGTGGTAGGAAGATATTGTAGGCTCATGTTTATGATGCTCCTATTTATAGAACTATGCTGAAATTTTATCTTTAAATATAAATATGCGTCTTTATTATTGTACTAATTCTATTGATACTATTGAACAAGAAAACTTTGCAAAATGGCTCATTGTACTTGGAGAAGGTCGAATACCTACCATTGGACCAGAACATGATAAAATTCAACTTTCAGAGGATCTTATTTTACCTTCTTAATAGTTAAACGATCTTATACAATTTGTCTATCCTGAATTTTCTTCACATTCTAATTCTCAATATTTAGTTGAACGTGCAATACTTACACCTAAGAACGAATATATTAATACTATTAATTCAACTATTATGTCTCAATTCCCTGGAAATTCTACTAACTATCTTAGTGCCGATACGATTAAAAATCATACTGAATATGAGCATCTATATCCTATAGAATATATTAACTCCTTACATATTAACGGTCTTCTACCTCATAAGTTAACTTTAAAACCAGGAGCTCCCATTATTTTATTATGCAATAATTAGTCCTTTTGACAGTCTTTGTAATAAAACAAGATTAGTATGCCGTTCTTTTCATAGACATGTTATTGAAGCTGAAATTTTTACTGGAAAACATTCCAGAAATCGCATTTTCCTTCCTCACATTACTCTTTCTCCTTCAACAACTGATTTACTTTTCGCCTTCAAACGTTGCCAATTCTCCATTCAACCTGCTTTCGCCCTAACAATTAACAAGTCTCAAGGCCAAACTTTAAATTACGTTGGCTTATACCTACCAACACCTGTCTTCTCTCATGGCCAATTATA